ATGACTCATCCTGCTGCAAAGTCGGTAATGGTATGCCGTAACTGTGGTCAGAATTCAAATCGCAACTTTCTAAAATAGTTTCGCAAAAATGTCCTCACGTCAACTTCCATAGAGCAAAACATGTCAAAAGTGTCAGCAATGTCGTTGAATTTTTATGAAATAACATAAGGCTTGTACGGAAATTATGTTGTCACCACTGTGTTTCACACGTCAAGATGCGTAGCAAAACCATGATTTATTTCAAGGGCATATTGAAATGTGACCTTATATAGTGCAAGGTCATCTGACTAAAAAAGTCAAGCTGCCTAGAGCAATAACAGCTGATCTGTACCTACCTACTGTTGAGCTAAAGGCATCCAAGATGTTTTCATTGGTATAAATAAATATTCAATATCTTCATCGTTTGAAGTTTTCGGGTCAACTGTTGACCTCTGAGGTGAGTTCAAGGTTCCAGGGTCGGGGTCCGCTTTTTGATAAACAACTTCGTCTCAATAGGTCGTAGGTCCTACGTCCTAGATCGACGTTTTTTTGACAATATTCTGTTTCTTTTGTCCAACTACGTTGAATCTTTTTGCCTTGATGTCGCAAATTTGATCTGACCCTAGGTCGCAGACACTGAATAGAAAAAAACGACACCTTCGTTGAGAACTTGAGAGTGGTTTGACTCGATCTCTAAGCAGGCACCTCGCGAAGCCGGAAATAGTCCAACCGATATCGGGTTATCGTCTAATACACATGAACAATGAACAATGACTAACAGACCACCTAGCATGAGGTATGATTCAGTGGTTGCACAGATAGACATTATCAACCACCGCCATATACCTACCTATCACTTGTCACGGCTCAGTCCATTCCCTCTCCGTCCGAGGGGAGGGAGAGGCGTGGTACGAACCCCTTGGGCCCGGACAGTTTTCTCGTGATTGCGAAGAATGGCCTGGTCTATGGTTGCGTATTGGACAGTGAACTCGGACCGGTCAATGCGGGAGTTGACACTGTGGCCGTCCGGCTGTGAAAGATCAAGTATGAGGCGGACAGACCCGTCCGGCTTCTCTCTGGCCCCAATGCCCCGAGGAGGGGAAGTCGAGACCGTGTTTCCGCCAAAAGAGAAAACAAATATTGAAAGGACCTTGCACGCTTGACTCGTCAAGCTCACCGGTCGGTAGTTTTCAGCCTTGAGTTTGCTACCCTGCTTGTAAATTGGTGTTATCATTGCGGCCTTCCACAGCAAGTTGCAGTGGGCAGTAGTACATCTTCGTGGACAGCAGTTACCAGCGGAGTGCCCCAAGGATCGGTGTTGGGACCGACCTTATTTGTTATTTATATAAATGAAATTCCCAAGATGATCAGAAGTAAATGCAAGCTTTTCGCTGATGACACAAAGTTGTTTCATGAAATTTCGAGTGACAAAGATGTAGCAGAGTTGCAAAGCCACTGTGTCAATATTTCGAATATTGAATGTGTCAATATTTTCGGGGCGTCGATCGGGGCGTCAATTTTCGAATGTCTCCAGTAGATTGGTTTGGCATGATTTCCCCTGTTGGAATCCATGCTGGTGTATCTGCTGCTTCACCATCTGTTGTAGTCAATGACCACCCCATGGTTCCCCTCCAATGCCCATCAGCCTTGGTTGAACATTGAAATGTCTGTCATTTAAGTCAAGCAATATTTAGTGACATCTACATCATTCTCAGGTCGGGTCAGTTCACTGACCTGACTTTGACGTCAAAAATGAACCGCAACACGGTTTATGCCCCGACTTCATATTACCTTGAGTCCCAGGGAATCTTTCTATGTGAAATTTACATAGATGAAGCTTACAGGAAGTTCATACCTAGAAGGCTTCCGAGTCCTCTAAACTTAGAGATCCTATATGCTTTTTCATAAGGGTCACTTGAGGTCAAGAATCGGTGACGTGACCACACTGGCCTCACAATAGGCATCAGTCATGATGGGGTAAAATTGAAGCTGTGATTTTGGCGCCGAAAATGATCTGGGTCCATCTAAAGCACATGACATGTTGATTTAATAAGCTCCTTGCAAGGCCCGATGCTTGAATTGTGCATTTTTTAACCTTGCATGACGTCATACATGACACCACTAAGGTCTTCGGAGTTTTTCGTCAAAAACTTCCTATCAAAGCTAGCTAGCGAGTCGGATATATCACCAATGGACTCTGGAAGACCTGCAGAATTCAGTGATCTGCAATATGGCCTCCCACCATCTTCGCGACCCGTGCGGCTTTGACCTGGCCTTGATCTGAGGTCAACACCCCAAGTTGACCATTCCGAGGCAAAACGTAACTATTCGAGGAGCCCTAGTATGGCGAACACAATGGTGCAGAAATCGCGGCACTGCGACCACTTTTGGCGACGTTATTCACCAAAACTGAACTCATACCTTGGGGTATTTGACCTGATCTCAGAGGCTACCTGTTCCGGGTTCACTGGTTGGTCTGAGTCCTTAAAATTGAGTACCTAGTACCTACCAGTCGCTGCCTCTCGTAATGGCACACACACTCGTTTTTTTTTTCTACAACGTTCTAGTTAAATCAGGGACGAAACGGCGTTTCACCTCCCCCCTCTCCCCTGGGCGAAGATGCATAGCTCTTAGCAAAGTCCGGCGACCGACGGTATTGGGTACCTAATCCTGTCGTGAAGCGACGTACCTATGTATGTATGTATGTATGTATGTATGTATGTATGTAATTAGGCATGTATAATTGTATAGTCGACTACAGAATGATGTTCCACTTTTCACAGGCAATTATTTGCCTGGAGTGGTAGGCTGTGCCGCATCACACGGGCTGGGTTCACAAATTATAGCTTTGTCCCAATGCTCACAATCGACACGCTTAATTGCGTGATAAACGGCACAACTTAGCGCTCCGGTCAACTGATAGCGTCTGAGGAGTGGGACATCATTCTTTAGTCGACTATACAGTTAACCCGCGTTGGGGTCTGCCGAGCAACGCGCCCTGCATGGGGGGGGGGGGGCAATTTGCCCCTCTCCTAAGATCTCGAGAACCACGCAACATAGCGACAAGCGGCAAACGGTGTTGGATAGCCCCAACAGGGAACTACCTTGTGACCCAATTTCATTGACCTAGGTCAAACCGATGACGTCACAGGTCAGGTCAAAGGTCGAATTTTCACCGTTTACAGGCATTTCAAGAAATGCGTTGTAAAATCGAGTAAAATGCATTTCATTGAAAATCATCGATGGGAAAATGTTCTTCAAACACATATTTTGTTATTTGAGGTCACTGATACCAGGTCAGGTCACAGAGGTCAGGTCACTGAGGGTCACAACATAAAAATACCATGTGATGCATGTTTTATGGTCCATTTTATATGCCAAATGTGATTATGTGGGTCAGGCAGCCTTTGAGGTCAGTTTAGATTTTGTCCTGGTGAAGGTCAGGTCAGGATCAGGTCAAGGTCAGGTCAAGGTCAGGTCAAGGTCAGGTCTGAAATTAGGTCACATTTCAAAGTTGATATTTTTGCATAAAATGGGTATCGATTCGATGCAGCTCGTCACGGGGAGTTCAATGGTGGTCTTTGTTTTGCGCTACGTGGTCGAGAATTGCTAAAAATTGAGTTCAAAAATTCAGTCATCAATTCATCGTCATCAATTTTGAACAGTTTTTCGCTATAACTTGGCCAAAAAAGGAGGTATCGATCTAAAATTTGGTATGTATATAGAAGACCGCAGGGACTATCATATACATATATTCCGTTTTTTTCGAAATTCGGAAAAATGGGATTTTTTGCGTTTTTCTAACAAATCAGTTTTTTGAATTTTTGGGGGTCAAAATCCCAAAATTTTGAAAATCGGAGATTGCAGTTTTGTAGCACCGCCTTTTGTCTACATGACCATATAAAGAACTTTGAGCCTTGGGTCACAGTATAAAACTGTGAACGCATCCAGTGTGATGCGACACAGCCTACCACTTCAGGCAACTGATTGCCTGCGTAAAGTGGAACACCATTCTGTAGTCAACGGTACAGTACTATCTTTCGAGTCCCAAGACAGAAAGCGTAAGGTGAGCTGCTCAATGAATGTGGGGAACTTCGTGGATTGACGCGGGAATCCCCCTCCCCTTCTCTCTCTCTCTCTCTCTCTCTCTCTCTCTCTCTCTCTCTCTCTCTCTCTCTCTCTCTCTCTCTCTCTCTCTCTCTCTCTCTCTCTCTCTCTCTCTCTCTCTCTCTCACAGACTGACTCTGGGTGGCTCTGCTCCCAAAGCTTCCAAGAGCGTCAATCAGCATAGCGGACCGCGCGAACCGACTGCGCAAACCAGCACCTCAAACATCAACAACCGCGGGGATCACCAGCTTGTGGCAGCGACCCGGGTGCAGCCATGGCCTCTAGAACGCGTAAGCACACTGACTTTGTGAGCGGCCCGATGAGGGACAAGCCGACGAGCTCTCTGCCGGGAATTGGTGAGAAGGCGGCCGGAAAACTGGTGGCCCAGGGCTACCCGCGCGCCAACATGGTGCTCGGCCAGTTCCTGGTGCTCGGTCAGAGTCGCGAGCCGTTCGTGTCCTGGCTGCAGAGTGCCTCGCACTGTAACGATGGCCAGGCCGCCGACTGTTACCAGGCACTGCACGACTGGTGTCAGCAGTTCCTGTAGCGATGGAACGGACGCTGCTGCGGCGACGACGTTTAAGCGCCTTCCGAACACTAAACTTACGACAAAGTGTCATCGCAGTGATTTGAGCGTCGGTTTTCAGGTCACCCATGTATAGTTATAAGTCTGATTGTAAGCTAAATATATGGTACTGATTTTGTAGCAATGGTAGCTGGTTGGACCGAACAGGCAAGTGCCGTTGACTGTCTACAGAACACAACCACACCAGACGGTAGACAGTGAGCCATGTTACGATGACGTGGCGGGGTTTCACCGCGCGGGGTTTCACCACCAGCTCAACACAGGCGGTAGAGGAACATCCTCATCCATGGTCAACTACCTCATCCGTCCATACCACGGCACACTGCAGTTACCGTAACCTGGCGTATATTTTCTACAAATTTACATATTTATATTTCGATGTACATTTGCAAATAACAGTTTCACTACGACTGCAAAAATGGCCTAGCGATAAAATTCAAGGACACCACTGCATTGCAGCCCGCCGTTTACACGACACACGTTCCGCCATTCTCTTAGTGAAAACTAAACTGCCTCGATGAATAATGGTCACAATGCCCAACGCAGCATCTTATTACTCCTCAGGTAGGTAACAAAGCTAGCTGATACCACAAAGTTAGCTGATAGTAGCAATCTTGGATACCACAGCCTCGGCCAAGACACAACAACGACGGGGCATAGCCTCGCCTCTACCAAGTCACCGGCATGACGCTGCATCACCACGTCTCAGATGTAACAGTGCCGGGTTCTATCCACGAGACCCGCGCCCGCTCTGATCCTCACCTATTACTCTCTCCGCGCCACTCTATTGGCCCGACTGACGACCCTGCTGCTCCGCTCACTGAACGTTGAAGAGCGTCTTCAAGTCACTCATTGTCAGCCGGTTGGAGGCAGCCTGCTTATTTCCCGAGAGCACGCCGTGCGCGATGTTCAGCTTCTTCTGCTGAAGCTCCACGATTCGCTCCTCCAGAGTGTCCTTGCAGACAAACCTGCCAAAACAGGTCAGGTCAGTGGTGGTGGTGGCGACAGATCAGTGGTGTACGAATGGGGCACGCAGACAGAGAGACTTCTGCCCACGGCGGGCAGGTCGGTGGTGTCAAACGGACAAAAGGATCATAGATATAGAGATCCTAGAGACAGCGGCAGGTCGGTGGTGTCAACCGGGCAGAGGGAACGGAGACAGACAGACCAAACGCTATCTTTCATCTGAAAACATGCCGTATTGTTAACCCACGAGCCGCTGGGAAGGGGGGGGGGGGCATAAAGTTGCCCCCCCCTTTACGTTTTAAGGAATATCTCCGAAACCGGATGAGCTACGAACGTGAAACGTGGCATAGCTTCAAATGAATACCTAGGCAAGGTTTGCGGAAATTTTGGTGGTTGTAACACCTAAGATGACGTCACAGTGACGTCACAAAGTTTTGTCGTTTTCCGATATGAACCGTTTCTGATGTCGCTGAGCATGAAACTAACTGTAAACAACTGTAAACGGCTGTCTGTCATCCTAAAACATCTAAGTACACTTCCAACTAGTTCCTGACCAATAATCAGTCGCTTATATTCGGTCTCACATATCGGATATATCGTGAGGAAACTGAGAGCCGCAAATCTATAATTTGACTTCTGACGTCACTGTGACGTCACTTCAAATGGGATCGACACCAAATTTGGACACAACCTCGGCTAGGTATTCAGAAAGATGTGTGCAAAGTTTCGCTTCTCTATCTCTTTGCGTTGGCGACGATATCGTCGCATAAGTAAAGTGGGGAACTATGTATATGCCCCCCCCCCCCCGCGGCCGGCGGGTGGCGCGGAGTCCCAGCGGCCGCCGGGTTAAATGAGCGAGCGACAGACCAAGACTTCTCCAAGCACAAATGTATTCTAGCTCAATTTTCGGATAACCCTGTGGCGTCAGTGGTTCATTAAAAACGCAAAGTGAAAAAGTGGACACCTGCAGTTGCTTACTGGCAAAAGAAATATGAAAACGTTTGATTAGTGCGAGTAGTGAGTACGTCACAAGAAAGATGACCTGCCCGGTTAGCTACGGTGTCGGAAGTAGCCAGAATGAGTCGTCATCCAGTAGGTGACCACTACAAATATCTGGGACGATGCGGCCGAGAGGATGGGCCCGGTTCGGATCCTGACGCGAACAGATTGAGAGAGTCAATAAGAAGCACAGCAGTCACTGTATGTGGGACAGTTGGGACACTCATTGTCCAATGCTGATTCCCACAGAGAAAATGGTCGTTAGTCATTCGTGTTGCCCGATGTAGAGTGTGCAAAGAGCAAATGTTCACTCTCTGTAGACGGCTGCCTTGCAGGCCGAGGTTCCGAGATCTGTATATCATGGACTTCCGGTTCCAGCTGCTGCAGTCCCGTCTCCCGCTGAGAAGGGATAAGGGATCCGCGGCGGAAAGTCCCGGACCGAAAGTACCAGGCGCCGGGGAGAGTCGCGACAGCGTGACGTAGGTACGTCAGCGTCGCCCAGCCCGTTCCGAGAGATACCAGCGTGACTAGCGTCCGACAGAAGGACAGCATTCTGCCTACTTTGGTGGCGTTAAGTGAACATGAACGATGATGTCGACTGGATAAAACTATCTAAGGTCAACAGGGTACTTAAGAATTCGGAACGGAAAAGAAAATTAAGGAGACTCCATAAAACACAAGGCCCTCTTGGTGGCCACGAAGTCTGACGGAAATCGATCTGGATGTGAGTCGGAGCAGCCCTTATAAAAGAGAAAACACAGCTTGCTGCTCAGTTTCTGGACATCTCCTTCCCATTCGACATGACAGCGAGACCATTCACTGTGGTCTAGACATTCACAAACACATCTGCAAGCCATGCCCGAGCAGATGAATTTACCGTAGGCTCGCTCACCTCACCCGCTATTCCATCCCGCGGCCCTCCAATCTGAATCATCGCTAAATATCTGCCGTGTCGGTCAGTGACGTCACCAGAGCGATGGTGACGTCACAGCGGCGCCGTGCAGCTGACTGCCGATCCCAGAGTCCCTTCACCGCCAGTGTTATTCTGACCCCACTGATACAGCAGCCAACTACCACATGACTCCTCATTAGATAAGATTCACGTTGGCAGGTCATTAGGCCACGAGCGAACTTTCGGGCAGTCATATTGCGGTGACGACAATTCATTACCACAAACTTTATGCGAGCCGGCAGGTGAAAATTTCATAGGACGTCTGAAATAAGTGATGGCCCATACATTTCTGGCTGGACAAAGTCTGTTTCATGTGGATAAATGTTGCCCGGAAACGCTTTGACGATCAAACTGAGGCTAGCAATAGTGGTGTAATACGACTACGAGATTCGACGCTCCGCGCTTAACATAACTATCTATCTTGTTCGATGGAGTTCAAGATTACCTCTTCTGATGGAGCTCGAAATTCTGTAACACTAGCCACTCAAACCCAAAACCAGAGCATCCTGGCCCAACGTGATCAGTCGCAGTGCCATGCTCATTGCTCATTGCTTAGCGGAGTGCATAATCTTTTTCTGTCATCACCAAATTACAGAGAACGGCAGCCACCCGACCTCTACGCCATAAAGCGCGATCCAAGAGACCATGCACCAAGCCCACATATGTATGTATATCCACATTCCACACATTCCCATGGACGTCTGGGCCCCAAAATTCAAAGTACCCAGTCCCACAACCCACAGCGTCCCAATCCCGGCCCCCACGCTTTTCCCATCCATCACGCACCTGTGTATGAACACGTCCCTCCGCTGGCCCACGCGGTAGATACGGTCTCCCGCCTGCTCCTCCAACTGGGGATTCCAGTGCGGGTCCAGTATGAACAAATGGTTCCCACCGACCAGGTTCAGGCCTACGCCGCCGGCCAGCAGCGACAGCAGCATCACCTGGCGGACAAACACGGAACCACACGTCACAGGGATGGCCAGTGGCCACTACGGGCCACTCTGCCTTATTCGCCCGTCCGACAACGGCAGAGCAGCAGTGCTACCAGGTAACATCAAATGAACACATACGTAGATAACGACGCATTACAGTGTCGCAACAACAACAGGAGGCAAACGTAGCCGGTAGCAACATCCCATAGGCATCCGGATAAGGCATATAACACTGCGTAGAACCACAGCACTCACTGACCGTAGAACCGCAGTCCTCTTATAAGACATGCACTGCTCCAACGACTCAGTAATGAGGATACAGTTTAGCGCTGTTTAACCTTCACATAAGAAGGCCGAGCCCTAGCCTCAACCATTCTGCGGAGGCCCTCTGATTCCCCCACTCACACCCACCCGCCATCAGTTGCTCACCCGCGGTCCCCGACGCGACGTTCCATTGAACGCTTCGATCAGCTGCTGCCTCTCGGACATCTTGACCGCGCCGGAGATGGTACAGGAGGCGACACGGGCCTCAGACAAGTGCTCTCGCACGATGTCGAGCATCGAGGTCCACTGTGAGACGACGACAACTCTCTCATCTCCGGCGTCCACGATGGCGCGCACTTCCTCCATCAGGCGGCGCAGCTGTCGGAGGAGGACGGCAGCGTCAACGACAGGGTCATCATCATCAGCAACGTTATCATCTTCAGCGTAATCATCACCGTCACTATCATCATCATCATCATAAGCATCACAATCAACCACATCAACGCCGTCATCATCATCATCATCATCATCATCATCATCATCATCATCATCATGATCATCATCATCATCACCACCTCCCCCGTCCCCACCTTGGCGCTGCGCCAGTCCCGGCCGAAGACGGGGTTGTCGGCGGTGAGCACGCTCTTCTCTTCAGCCGCCTCCTTGGCCGGCGCCTCGGACAGACTGAGGCCAAGAAGCCTCTCCTCCAGTTCAGCTGCCTCGTCTTCCACATCCACGCCGGCCGACTCGCGGTCCGATGACGTCAGCACCTGTCGGCGTCGTGACGTCACTGGTCCGGTAGGTGGGAGAAGAGGGTACGAAGGCCGACTTGGGGAGTCCTGACCTCAGGTGGGAGGGTTCCTTATTCAAGGGAGGACCATCACCAGCCTCATAATTCAAAAGCCTGCAAGACTGCAGAGTTTCAAACAGAGAGAAACTGAGGCAGAGCAGTGCCGAACAGACACAAAAAGAGTTACAGAGAGCTGCAGAAAGTTCTGGACAGAGAGCTACAGAAGACGACACTGTTTCGAAAACAGTTCTCGGAGAGGGAGGGACCAGACCCGCCCTCCACTCGTGTTCGTGACCTACACAGCAGATGGCCGCGTTCTCCCACCATGGCTGTCTCGTTAGGGCGGGGGGCGCTATTGGCTGATGGGTATCGGCCGGATGGGCCGAGGCACGGTACGACAGTCCCGTGATACGGTATCACGGGTCGCTGATCGGGGGAGGGGTGGGGGATCGGGTGGGGGATCAGTAGGACAGCAGCTGGAACGGAAATGGGTACCAAGCGGAACGGAGAAGGGGTTCCGAAGAAGAGCGAAGAGGGTTGCGGACAGCGAAGAAGGGAAAAATGACGCGAGGTCTGCAAAAGTAACGATATGACTGAGCCATAACCGTAACAAAAGGGGCATGACACATACTGCGTACAAACGAATGTAGTTTTCGAATGGCAGGCGATGAGAACGATAGAATGACACGGAAAGCCGAAAATAGGTAGCAGCTCAGGCAGGATTTTAGAGCTATCCTTTGTACGCCATCATGCGTGCCGAACTACAGCATCTGAGCTGAACTGAGCAATATCCCCGACCGACCCGTACCGTTTTGGCCAGCGCCGGGTGGCAGCAGATCTGCCTCAGTCGCAGCAGCTGCACCAGCAGGTGGTGCTGCTTGATGCTGCCCTTCTGACCGAGGCCCGACGGACCGCCCTCCGAGCCGCCTGCAAACATCGGCGGCAAACGTCACGTCAGTGACATCATACGTCACATAACCGTCACCAAACGTTACCAACGTAACAGCGCGTCACGTAACATCACAGCCTCACATATCAAAGCGACATCAAACGTCACAGCACCAGATGCAATTAGGTTCCTCATGAAACAGGCCGGATCATTTCACCTTTTCGTTGAACTGGTGCTAACTCTTAACGCAAAAAGGAAATCAATCTGAAACTACCGGAAGTTAATCATAATTAACTTTGGGCGGCGGCGTATGGTTTCACTCTGCTGCCTCTGCGCATATCCTGCTCGGGCGGGACTGGGAAAACCCGGTGTCTGTGCCTGTGCGTTTGTTTCGGTTCGTGTGCGTTGCCGCGCCTGTGTTATTGTATTTGTGCGGATAGGAGGCCGTGACGTGGGCTGTCGAGCCGCTCGGCACCGACAGACCGAGGAGCCGCCGCCGCCGCCGCCGGCGGCGTCATCGTCCGTACACCGACTGGAATTTCCAGTCGGTGCGGTGACGTCACACACTTCCCTCCCCTCACCTCCGGCCGGGGTCAGGTCAGGGGTGTCGACCGGCAGGGGGGCAGCACCGGAAGTCAGGGGGGCATTCCCCGACGTACCTAGTACACAGACCTACACCACGGCCTGTGACCACCTCTGATGACGTCACCGCTGGTCACCGATGACGTCACCGGGCGGTGTGCCGGCTGCAGTGGCCTTGGCTGGCCCGCGCGGCGGCCGGCCGGCAGCGGAGGACGGCAGTAGTGTTCGTCCGGTCGGCCAGGATGGGGGCCACGGTGGGTGTGTGGGTGGCGACACTGCTGCTGGTGGCCGCCACGGTCAGCGCCGCTACATTGGAGGGCTCAGGTGAGAGCAAACCCCCCTCCCCCCTCACCAACACAGCATGAGGCAGCCCCACGCAACCGTTCTTCTTTCTCCGTGCTCAGCTTCAGTGGATTTATGAATTCTGTTTGGCAACAACGACTATTCAACCAGCCTGTTCCAGACACCCGCACTACAGATGCAACATTGCCGGTAAGAAGATCTAAGTCTGGACATAATCAATTCTCCGGTTAGCTCCACACAAGTCTATCGACTCTAGTAAGCCGCTTTCAAACTTGGTTACGTTCATCGCTCTCAACCCCACCTTGGTTCGATGAACCCGAGTTCAGACCTCTGAGCTGGGACGCTTGGAGCCATGGAGGACCTGAACTTGAACAATTATCTGCGTCCCGGTAGAATCACAAACCTATTATCACTCATTCGGCACCATATCACACTACCTGCAGATGAGCATCACTGAGAAAGAACAGGCGGGCAAAACCAACGGTAACCGATATCGTCACTTGTTTCTCGTTTTCCTGCTATACGGCCCACTGGTCAGCGGTGTTTGTGGGTTGTAACCGCCGTTTACCTAGACACGTGTTGCGGTACAGCAGAAAACGTGAGAAACTGATTCACTGGAGTATGACGGGATTCACGGTGAGCTGTATCATACAACTTCCCCACATCCGCCTACTATGGACGTCAAACCCCTTGAGACCCCACTTTTTCGCGATAATTTTTAAATGCGTCAACTCTCGTTGACGATATTCTGGCAATGTGTGTTTCAGAACCTGCCGAAACTTTTATTACTAAGGTATTTTGACGCCAAACGATTATGAAAGGTACTTCTCATTCACTCGTAATGTTAAATTTTACGGAACGAATCTGCTGTTTGGGTAGAGGCTACGCGCTCATGGGGCGGAGCTACGTAATGACGTCAGCGCTAAGCTCCGCCCTACCCCTCCAGCGCTCCTTGCCCGGCGACCGGTCACTCGCGTCTCTCGCTCCATACTACAGGCTTGATGGTGGGCGGTAGCTGGTAGCGGTAGCGGGCGCTGGTAGATGTCATTAATAGCAGATGGCACTGGTGGCGGGGCTCGAGTGTGGCCGAGCGCAAGCCTCTGCCACGGCCTGAATTGACCTTAGCATTACGAGTGAATGAGAAGTACCTTTCATAATCGTTTGGCATCAACATACCTTAGTGATAAAAGTTTCGGCAGGTTCTGAAACACACATTGCCAGAATATTGTCAACGAGAGTTGACGCATTTAAAAATTATCGCAAAAAAGTGGGGTCTCAAGGGGTTTGACGTCCATAGTAGATAATTTGAACGCTACACTGTGTCCGCAATTAGGAATTTCGAACGCTTTTATTAACCTGGACAGTGGACACACTAATGAATCTGAGGTTAGAGCGTCAAAACGTCGACAAAAATCTACCAGCAACGAAGCCCATTTCAATCCATCTGTTCTGCCGAGCCTCCGACAACTCTTCAAAGCCCGTCTCTAACCATATACACCGTGTAGCCTTGCGGAGCCCCCGAGCGGGTCCCCGTCCCCTCCCCGGCCGACCGAACAATGCACGGTACGCGGCCCCTCGTGCTGCGCGTGTCCTTCACCTTGGTCCGAACCGGTAGGACGGCAAACCGACCACCCGGTCCCGAGCGGTCTCTATAAGCGGAGAATCAATCGAGCGGACCAGCCGACCGGTCAGGAAAACTAATCACCCCGGTCCCGGTCAGTCAACCGATTAGACAACCCGAGCGGCCCAAGCGACGGATCATACGACCAACCCCCCTCCCCCAGCGGGATATCACCTAACCGGTCCCCACCGGTAAAACACCCATCGATCCTCATCAGTAAAACCCCCATCGGTCCCCAGCGGCGAGAGCCTCCCAGCCGACGGGACGAACCACTGTCGGTAGAACCCCAATACGGACAGTAAATACGTATCGCAAATGGTGAGACACCACAGTCCAGACTCAATCACACAGTCCCAGGCACCATATGCAGCATATGGTCCCTATGCATTGGAACTTACTAGGTCGCTTTCGAGAAGAGCAAAACATAGAACGTAAGCAAAACATTGCAACACTGGACCGCTGAATGTTGGACAGGTTTCGTAAGGACAGCGAGGGAGGATCATCGCCCGTAAAAACAAACGCAAATACGACGGACGATTACGCAAGCAGTCAGGCTTTTTGAATGGACAGATAAATAATAAACTTCAAGCGGGCTCCCTGACATTTTTTTTTTTTTTACAAACCGATCCGTTTCCGGCCCGCAGTACCAATCGTTTATACATTTTCTGCGGCGCCGTACAGGCTGACAAAACCCAGCCAGTACGACAGGCCGTGACAGTCGAGCTCGTCCCTATCTCGTCCGCGAGACTGGTCGCCGACAGGCCGTACCGGCTGCTGATCATAGGTAATACCAGGGCCGCGCGGTCGGCAGCTCTGACGGACTTCCCTCGACCACCTGGGGAAGTTTGGCCGAGCCTCCGTGCGCCGCTTATAACGGCCGTGACTACAGCCGGCGCACGGACATAATCTCCCCTGGACGCTTAATGACGTCATCCGAGGCAGATCCCCATCCCATCAGTGACGTCATAAATCGCTGACTGAATCAGAGAGTTCCGCGGTAGCTGCTGGACGTCACGGCAGAACTATGACGCGGTCCCGCGCGCACCGTGTCTGTAGAATCGTCCGTGGGCCGTCCCGTGGCTTTCTCCGGCCTGTGAGCGGGTACGGATTAGCGAGGGATTAGCATAGCACTCGGCGGTAGGGAGTTCCGCCGGTAGGAATCCGGGGTCATTGAAAGACCGGGATTCAGGGCCATTGAAAGACCGGCATTCAGGGCCACTGGTGCTGTGTGGACATGGGATATCCTTATTCGGTGAAGCATACCGGTAGTGGCGCTACTACCAGCTGTAACAACTGCAATGCATACTGTCACCACCAGCTGTCACAGCTGTGGTGCTGTCACTAACAACTGTACCAGCACGAGCAGCTGGTCAAATGAACAGAGGAGCGGCTGCTCTCAGGACAAAGAGCGATCGTGCGCTGTTCTCCAGCGATACCGGTTCAATCCAGCTGGCACTGAGCGGTGACAGAAGCACGTCCTCGGCACTGAGATCCGACAGACGAGCAGCAGCGGCCGGACCGAATGAGGAGTGGACAGGAGTGGGGCCGAGTCTGACTCAGACTTGTCAGGGCCATATCGAGAGTAGCAAATCTCTGTCTGACATTTGAGAGACGGGAGATGAGACCATATGAATTGACGTCATGATCTCGTCAGTATCCGACAGGAGAGGCCGCTGAGGGGATTTCCTGATATGCTGAGTACTGAGTAGGCTAGCTGGGGAAAGTTTTTTTAAAACTCTGTTTAATGTTTATGTTCGTAATGTTTACAGTTGCATGCACTGCCCTGTATTAGTTCACACCACATTATGCATTACCGTTCCTGCCTCCACAACACGAGGTCGAAAGTCCATGTTTGCTGCAGCGAAATATCAGTGATGCGAATTGGGGACGGTCCCGCATGTCCCGTGTCATAGATCGGGTATCTCATGGGGGTTGGCCGGAAAACGAGAGCGAGGTCACCAGCCTATGGACTGAGCCCCTGGCTCAGCGCCGCACCAGTCGCTTGACAAACCTGCACACACCTATGACACACCGAAATATACCAACCGTTCGGAGCCACAGGTGACCCTTTTACCCAGTGGGGTAGGTCGGGTACCCGCTTAGGGAAGCCAGATAACGTGACGAAATACCAGCCTGTGGACTTGGTAAACAATTCTAGCTGTGTTATGCTAGCTCAGCGTTTTATCACGGTCAAAACCGTGTCTCCGATGGACACAGTGTCGCCAATACAGACCCAAGTCACTGTGGCCGTGTCACAGGCATCAGTTGAGTTCCGTGTCTCCAGGTCATAGGCCGGACCGTGCCTTTATTACGAAATGCCTCATTGTTGAAACCCACCAATACCACACCGTGACCCTAATGGACATGCCCCACAGACTGTGCCAGTGACCAGAAGCCTCCACTACCACCCAGTGAACCGTGTGCCCATGTCCTGGCAAATGCCAGTGGCCCACGTCTCTAAAACAGCACAGTGACCCGTGTGTCCGTGCCCCGCAGATGCCCGTGACCCGTGTCTCTAATACAGCACAGTGA